AAAGTACACACATCCTTTACTCAAGTAGAAGTACAGATACTCGTGTTTAAAAATACTCTAGTAAAAGTAGAAGTACTGACTAAACTTCTTTACTCAAGTAAAAGTAAAGAAGTAGGGGCTTTGAAATGTACTTAAGTAAAAAGTACCCATAACTTTGTGTCCTTGGTCAAGACACGTCACCCTAATTTGCTGTATTCACTATTACATGTCTGATATATGTAATACAGTATGTAATGTAAAGCACTTTGAGCATTAAGAAAAGTACTTTAATAAATGTAATGAAACACAGATTAAAACTAAAGTAACAAACCTGTTTTGAAAATGTAAGAAGTAGAAAGTACAGGTTTTTGTGTTGACAAAAGTAAGAAGTAAAAGTAAAAAGTTGTCAGAAAGATAAGTAGTGGAGTAAAGTACTGATACCAGAAAAATGTACTTAAGTACAGTAACGAAGTATTTGTACTCCACTATTTCCCACCTCTGCAACACTAACATTTGTTGGTGTCTTCTAACTCCATATACCTTTTTTATTCTTATAAACATGCCTTACTGTCATTGATGACTGAACTTTTCAGGTGTAATCTCCTGAAAGAGGCTCCCTTCAGTGCTTGCAATGAGCACATCGACCCGGAGCCCTACATGGCCGCCTGCACACACACTCTGTGCAAATACCCTGCAGTGGATGGTCTTAAGTGCCAGTTCCTGGAGGCCTACGTCAAGGCCTGCAGCCTCCACAGCAACGTCACCGTGGAAAGATGGACGACCAAAACCAGCTGCCGTAAGACTGTCTTTCAATATCTTCTGTTTTGTTTAAATATAAACGTATAAGTCTGATATGATCTCCTTAATCAGTGGCGTCCAAACTTTTTTCACCGAGGGCCACATACAGGAAAATATATGAAGGGCTGGGCCTTAGAGGTATATTGCCTCATAAGTTCAGTTATATGTTAGCAACATTAAAACAAATTATCCAGAGGGTTTCATTTATTTTGTTAGCAGCTCATTCCTCAAAACAGAAGCCTCAGATTGATTATAATAAGGAGAAATAGGAAGGGTGTATTCAAGATTGTTAGGCAAATAAGTTATTGGGCTTTTTTCTTATCAACTAAGATTTGTTTGAAAATGTTCCAACTTGAATTGACTGAATATATTTGAAAAGTGTTCTAATTAACACATGAATACTACTGTGTAATATATTTTTACATTTATATTTAAGAAGTACAATATAAGACAAGCACAAGTTTCATTTGTGGGCCATATTCCATTAGACATTATAAATTTGCTGAGGCCCGATTCAAAATGGTCCGCGGGCCGTAGTTTGGACACCCCTGATCTAAATGAATGAATTAAATATAAGACAACTTTGTTTTAAAGTTCTGTCGCTCTTTTGATTTACATTTTAGCAGTGGTGTACAGTAACTAAGTAGATTTACTAAAGTATTGTCCTTAAGTTTTCCCTGGTGTGTGTTTGCAGCGGCTGTCCCCCGGGCCTCCTGTCAGGACCGGTTCTGCAGCGATAATGAGTTCTGCGGAGAAAGACAAGTTGGGTATCCTCGCTGCCTCTGTCGTGCTATTTTTGCCTCCAAGTACAAATCGGCAAATGCTTACGGTGAGTCAGCGAGAAAATCACAATTGACTCAAAATCTATTTCATTAAATTCTAGAAGGAAAAGTCCTCCTTTAATTATGTATGTTGAACATCAACTTAATAAGGCAGCATGTAGATCTTTAGCAGAAATTAATTACAAATATGACCTACTGATATTATCCCAGTCTTTTTTTTCTCAAAATGTTATTCAGGTAAAATAATGCACAAACTAGTCTTTCAAGTAATTGTAAATACACTTAGAGATGTTTTGTGATGTTGAATAATTTGTGCATCTCCCTGAACTGTGCTGTTGTTAGGGTTAGGGTTAGGGTTAGGTTTAGGACAAGTGATTTCGACAAACGCTAAATAAATAAAATGTTTTTAACACGTTTAGGTGAGCCGACAGCATGCACAAAGAAGTCTGCATCAGTTACTATGGCCAATTGTCTCTTGGAGGACAAAAGCATCGACTACTCCTTCTTACACCTCAATGACGAGGCCTGCAAAGCTGAAATGGACGAACTGACCCACATGGTGACGTTCAAATTCAACAGCAGCAACACTTGTGGTACAGTGGTCATGGTGGGTATCTAGATTTTGATATGTATTTAGGAACATTGTTAATATGTATTTAGGAGAATCTAAAGGTGAATGAAGTGCATCTGAACGTGCAGTGACAATGTCTGATAACATGTGATGTATTAGGCAAACAACAGTCAAATTATCTACAAGAACACCATCATGAGGAGGAACCTCTCCGATTCTGGCATGATCAACCGTCAGAGCCCCGTGCACATCGACTTCTCCTGTTATTACGCTCAGCCGGAGATCAAGAGCTTGGCCATCAGACTGAAACAAAGGTGTGTGAAGGAGGCTCATTTTATACCTCCAGAGAAGCCACATTTGTGTTACAAGGAGAAGAATGAATTTACCTTTAATTTTTGTGTGCAGACTAGTATTGTTAGGATGTATCTTTGACTTCCAGGGCTGTGATGCAGGAGATGACTTCTGGAGAATGGAAGTACAATCTGACCATGAAGGCCTACATTGACGCTGAGCGTAATAACGTTATCCAGTCAGACACCGACATCCAACTGGACCAGAACATCTGGGTGGAGATTGAGACAGAGGGCCTCGATGAAAAAGTGGTTGTCGTGGTGATGGACTCCTGCTGGGCCACCGATCAGCCGTCGCCAAGCGGAGCTCTGAGATATGACCTCATCACGAACGGGTGAGATACTCAGAAATACTTATGTTGATTAATAATAATAAAGGTTTATTTATATAGCGCTTTTCATACAACACATGCGGCTCAAAGTGCTTTACAAAATGACACATCACAAGGAAAACATAAACAACAAGAAATTCCCCTCAGATTATTTGTTAAGAACTTTAAAAGGCAAAATATAACATTTGATCAGGTTAATAGACACAAGGAGGTAAAATAATGATAATAAAAATAAAATAAAATAAATAATGGTTTCTCTCTGACAGATAAGACACAAGACAACTGAGTCGATGCAACAATATAAAATATAAAACCCCACAAGACAAAGTGAACATATAGGTACAACTTACTGTTCGGAGACTCAGTCATTGGTACATGTTCAAAGCCATGCTGGGTAAACTACCACCTTACATCTGCTCACTGATCTCACAGAGAGTCGCTAGTAGCTATTGCCTAAAGGCCCTGACACACCAG